GCCCTTTTTGGCTCCCCAGCCTCCAGAATTATATGAAGAGCTGCTGCCTTGGGAACCAGCACTATTCCAAACACCACCACTCTCATCCTCCTCCTCCCAGCTAGGGTTACGCGAAGCACTGACTGAACCCTCTCCTTCTACCCAACCTTCTTGCATAGACTTTGAACCTGTAAAAATATCAACATTAAACTGTTTAGAATTTTACTATCTACCTTTAAACTGTTCAGAAATATCAATACATTCACGATTGAAAGTGATCAAAAAACCACCGCAATTATTTTAAAATCTAGACTCACCAGACTTCACTGGATTGGATGAGGGATCCCCCCAACTTGAGGCCTTGCCACTGTCATCCCAACCAGTGGGAGCTTCAGTAGGTTTACCCCAGGCTGAAGTACCATTGTCCACACAAGGACTGGAAGGAGAGCCACGACCTCCCCACCCAGAAGCTAAAATATAAATAAAAGAATTAATTTTTTTTTTTTAATTTGTTTTTAAGATATGCTGAGACCTTTTTTTAGTTTGGGTGTTTGATGCTGAATTTCAACTGTTTTGACAATGGTTAAATGAAACTATAATTTGAATAAAACAAGTCTTTTACCTATTCCTGGCCCCTTGCTTGCTGAATGTGCAATGTTCATGTCCCTATTCCCAAGACCTGTTGGCATTCTTCCTGGTGGCGGCTGTTGCAGGGGTGGGGGGCCCTGCTGAGGGGACACTGATTGTGCCTGGCCAGATGGGGCATTGTTTTTATCCCACAAGTTGACACTTTTGTAGTTGTAGTTGCTGGGGTCACCCCAAGCAGATGTTCCATCATCAATTTCCATTTTCCTGCTGATGGACTGTGGAGAAGGCTCCTCCCAACCGCTGGGCTCTGAAGTCTCTCCAGGGCCATTGGAAATTTGGGGTATAGGCCCTGAATTCCACCCTGAACTTTGGCTCTGGACTGAAGGACCTGCTGGTCTTCCCCAGCCCCCTTGCATGGCCCCTGTGTCCACTGACTGACACTGCTGAGGCTGTGATTGTGGTTGCTGCTGCTGCTGTGCCGGGCCTTTCTGTGAGGCTGATTGGCTGTTTGGCATTTGTGAAGGGTGCATCTTCCCACCCCAACCTTGGTGAGATTTTCCACCCATGTCTCCACCCACCCCTCCCCATGTCCCTCCAGGAGTTCCATCATCCCAATTACCCCATGTACCCACTTCTGAGTCTCCACTAGTACCTCCACCACCCTTTCCATCCCACCCCCCACTACACGATTTAGACTCTTTTTCTCCCCAGTCGCTGGTACCTCTCGGTCCCCAGCTGCCTGCATCCACCCTCCCCATTTCTTTCCATCCACTTGATCTTGTTCCTTTCTCCTCCTGACTATCTCCCCAGCCACTTCCTCCTGTTGATGGAGTACCCTGTGTTTGGAAATCTCCCCACCCACCTGACGAACCTCCTGCTCGCCGTTCTCGCCACTCATGTCCCTCGCTTTCCCAGCCCTTTACTTGGCCTTCTGATGATGCAGTCCCTCCCCAACCCCCAGATGGCATGCCCTGCCCACCAGCTGAGCTACCTCCTCCACCTCCAGATTGTGAGACGCTAGGGTTTTGGATATTGACACCTGAGGGTGGAGGGCCTCGGGTATGCAAAGAACTGCTGTTGCTACTACTGTTGTCCCAACCTTCACCAGATGAAACTGCGGGTGGTCCAAGGATGGAGTTTGAGTTTAAGTTGGCATTTAGAGATGCAGCTTGGAGCAGAGAGGGGGAAGATGGATCAGTAGTTGTGCTCCCACTAGGACCAGAGTATGGCTGGGCATGAGCAGATGCACCAATAGACAAAGAATTTGCACCACCAGGTGCTTTTGCTCTGCCTCCATCTTCCAAATCCCATGCCACATTCTGACGGATTTGTGTCTGACCCCAACCAGTATTGGACAGCACTCTGGGGTCCAGATCCGACCGGCTAAGCAGATCCTGTAAGGCCACTTCAGGGTCAGGAGGCTTATGAGTGCGGTGGTGGCCATGGCGCTGATTGCCACTTCTGGAGTTTCCTCCACCACTGGAGGATGAGGTACCTTCCCCACCTCTGCTACCCTGGCCTCCCCACTCACTCAAATCTCCTGCTCCCACATCCCCAACTGCTTTCTGATTGTCCCAAGCTCTTGTCATAGTTGAAGGTGTGGAGGAGGTTGTCGTCGGGATGCTGACACTACCACCACTACTGCTGCTGTTACTGCTTGAGCCGTCTTTCCCACCTTGATCACTGACACCTCCAACACCACTGGATGCCCCCCATTCCCCACCCAACAAATGGTCCCCACCCCACGCTCCCTGAGATACCCCGGGGGTCTGACCCCCACTTCCTGTTCCCCAGGCACCTGCCCCCGTCAAATCTCCTCGATCGTCCTGGCCGGGATATCCCCATGCCTTCCCACCTTCAGCAGACAAGGAGCTCCCTCCTGCTCCATCATCCCAAGATTCAGTCCTTGAGGCACCCGTTTTGAAGTTTGCAGGGAAAGGCTGAGTTCTCCACAATGATGAGCTGGTGGAGGAGGAAGACGAAGCAGAGCCTGCTCCTCCACCTGTGCTTCCAGAGTCCATATCAGCCCCCTCTGTCACCCCAGTGTTTTTTGGTCCTGCTCCTGGTTCCAGTGCTGTGCCACCCCATTCTCCACAGGATGGCTCTCTGTCTCTGGATTGCATTTGGTGAAGTTGGTGCTGATGAGAGGCTTGATTCACAGAAAGAGGGTTGCTGGCAGACAAAGATGAGCTTTGGAGGGAAGAGGAGCCACCCTCTGTTGCAACTGTCCCAGCCCCTTCCTGTACTAGGGCTGGCCAAGCAGAGGGATTGGCATTAGGGGTAAAATTGGCACCTGGAATCCCACAGCTGACACCAAAGGAGCTATCAGAGCTCCCTGGGAGAGGGGCAGCTTTGGATATGGGGGGCAATGAGCCTGCTGCTACTGCATTCCCCCCTATGAGTTCATGGGAGGATGAAGCCCAAACACTACCAGACTGCATACATTCATTGGGTGATCCAGAGGATGTGGGCGGAGAGGGACTGCCAGAATTGACTCCTTTCCTTCCGTTCCCTCCTCCCACAACTTTCGCTTGCTGCTGGAGATGCCTCTCACCCCACGAGGCATTGCAGTTCAGAATCGCACCACTGTCTGTACCTCCTGTACCTGCTGCATCCCCTGACTTTGATCCATCCCCAGCAGCAATACTGGGCCATTCCTCCAGGTCTGACCGGTCCACTATCACCTTTTCCCTGCCCTGAGAGAGGGGATGGCTGCCAGAGCTGGTCCCCCACATGGAATTTGCATAATTTGAAGAAGAAGAAGCAGCGATTGATGAGGCGGATGACGTATGGGGCAGTGAGGGAGCAGCTGGACCCACAGGGCCCTGGCTTGGATCTGAAATAAAATAAAATCTTCAAGATATGCTAGACTTTTTTATGACACAAAAACCAAGCATATGTAATACAAACTATAAAATATAATGATCAACTTACCCAGTGTACAACTGAATAAAAATGTAACTATGCAATTTAAATTATTAACCTAATGATTCCTACCTGAGGCAGAAGCCACTGTTTCATTGGGGCTGTCTCCCCCGCTGTTGCCTCCCCCCAGCAGCATGGAGGACAGTGGTGGCTGGCCCCTCTTCAGTAGCACTTTATGGTCCTGCTGGCAACGGAATCGAGGGGGCACTTCACGGGGCATGTAGCGCTGAGAATTCGGTGTGCTGGGGGAGGGCTGTCCGTTGGCCACCGCCGGCCGCTTAGCATTGTTCCCACCCTGAGGGAGGGTGCCAGCAGCCGGGGTGGCAGCGGATGGGGTTGAAGAGGGGACGGGGCCAGGGCTGGGGGAAGCTGAGTTGGGGGCGGCAGGAGACTGTGCAGATGGAGGCTTGGTCAATTCTGGCACTGTGTGGTGGAAAAGTTAGGAGCAAATGAGAGCAGAACTGCAGAAAAGCTACATATAGGTAAAAGAAAAGAATAAATTCACAAGTTAACAAAGTGGACATTACATAATATGCCTCCTTGACAGCATAAAAACACATAGTCTCAGAACGTCAGTACAGAGTTCAAAAATTAAAGATGGAAATAAAATAGTTACCTTTATTTTTTTGCTCTGCAACCTAAAACAATAAAAAAGGAGATACAGATTTGATGAAAACATATATTTTAATTTACTCAGGGCACACAACAAAGTTTAAGGTATTCCTTCTTCATCTCTTAACTACATTCCACCGCATTTAATAAAATTATTTAAAGTAGCCTTTCCCACTAAGAACAATAAAACTTTAATGACCATTATAACTCCATCTCAAAACTTCACAATTGTTCAGTGAAGCTGAGAGGAAATTCACATGCAGAAACCCTCTTGCACCCCTGACAGCAAAATGGAAATATTTTTATAGCATGTGATATATATAGGTTTTGCAATGAGAAAAAAAAACTAATTAAACAGCCAACATAACCTATCTGTGTTTAGCACATATATGTCAGAGTATCTGACAGGACAAGCTGGCCCAAAACAAACATCTCAACTATATCTTACACATTCTTTTCAAGGATTTAGATATGGTAAGCAAGATTATATTGAGATCAAACCTAAAGCATGAATGCTAATTAAGTGATAGCAATCAATATTTTCATGAACAGCCAAGCATCAGTATTTCTACAATGATACTTTGACAAACATGTACCAGAGGCTTGGTTGATGCAGTTAACTATTAATACGACGTTATTCTCTAGAAAGGACTTCTACATTTACAGCATAAAAAGTGAATCCAGAATGCTATTTCAATTCTGAAAATGAACACACATCTTTTCAAAGACGGTATGTGCTTAACTTAATAGTCAGAAATAATTAATATAACATAGCAATTACCTTCTGCGAGGTTTCCCGTTTCCTTTTATCTTCCTTTTTCCTTTTCTTGTCTTCCATGAACTGCTGTTCCCTTTCCTGGTGCTCCTTTCTTGAAAAACAAAACATCAAAAACTAGTGTTCAATTGTAAAACTTTGTAAATGTAAATAAACTGCCATGTAAATAATGATGTAAATAAATGTAAATAAACTGCCAATTCCTAGTATACAATACCAAGGATCTGCAAAATGCATACGTCTAGTATCACCTTCAACCAGTTCAGGCACTAAGAGGTGCTGCTGTGTTATCAAACCAAATGCATAACAGCACAATACACAACAACGGCACCAATCACATGATCAAGATATCACCAATCTTTGTAAAAATAATTTGAACGAAGGCTCGAGTGGAGTTTGAACCTGTCATTAAAAAACGGATGCCAATGAAATTCATACTGTGATCTTCATAATGGGGGAAACTCTTGCTGCTATCTGTCTGGAAGCCTGCAGTTGGCAGGGCAGAGTTGTTGGACAGGCGCTTCGTCCGTCCACCCGCCCATTTCCTCGGGTAAAATTTAAAATATAGCATACATTCCTTACGTCGGCTATACGAACAATTCGAGCAAAAACAACTGTTAAATCCAGTGTTTTAACGGCACTAACTGAAACACACCGAGCTAACGCGTATGCTTTAGTGGTCCTGCCAATCTCAGGTGTATGTTACTCAGTTAACGTTAGCTAATTTGCTAGCAGAAGATATTAACATCCTAAACGTGAACCTCAGATATTTTATTAAATTCTCCCTGAAGCCAGAGTCTATTTACGTACGGATCGTAACACAAATCAAAAGGGTAAGCAGCTGTCAAAACAAAATATGCATAAATATGCAACTGCTCAAATATGGGCAGCAGCAACGTTAACGTAACGTTAGCAAGCCTGGACTAATAGTCGTGATATACATTGCCTAGCTAAACTCAACTTATACTTATTTTAACGCAGACATAACTCAGATCCATTAGTGTGTTACTATACAACAACGAGTATGTTTTCATGATTGACCAGCGGAAAGCTAACGTTAAAGTTGCATACAGGCAAATGCTAACTGGCTGCCTGGCTAATTTAACTAGCGACAGAGCTAGGGCTAACAGATGTCGACGAAGAAAAACTGTACCATACTAAAACGCTTTCACGCAACTGCGGTTTTTCAAAATGCATATTAGTGTCATTAGTTGCAAGCAACATTTCACATGAAATGATTTTTAAAATAAAGCACTTACCTCAGGAATTACATGCACCGCAGCTAGTCTTCTAGCTACAGCTAAAGTGCTTAAGTGCGAATTTCTGGGTTTTGAGGCAACGTGAAATACAATACTCCATCAATATCTATGAGCTAGTCATGAAAACACTCCTTCTGTAGGTTTTAAATATGAAATACGATAATGTAAACGAAAGAGGCGGAATCTATGTTTAAAGCGCTGTAAAGTCAGTTGGTTGACGGTCGGCCATTTTACTGCTCGGTGTGAATGTGTGTGTCTGGACAGATCTGACGGAAGGGGGGCAGCCGAGGGAGATTTTTGACCTTCAATATTAAAAGTCCAATAACTCTTTAATTGGACGTTCTTTTAATAAATAGAACATATTTGGCATGAGACCTGACTCATTTGCAGTGAATGTTAATTATACGTAATGTTACGTAAGGTAGCCTACTGCTTTTTTGTAAAAATTGTTAAGGCTATCTCAGTCTGTCACAAGAAATTTCATCTTACTTAAAAAGAGCGATGCCTCACAATAAATACTAACGTTAAATGTACATATTTGCAACATTTGTTAAGGCTACCCCAGTCTGTCATAATAAGTTTTATGTTTTTATAATTTAGATAAGGTTTTAGATTTTTAGTACACAGAGGCCTTTTTTGAATCAGCATCAATTTGTATAACGTTACAGATACTAAAATGATGAAGAGTATAAATAATAATAATAATAATAATTTGTAAAATGTGTTTTTAAATACATTTTTATGTAAAATCTCTTTTCAGCTTTAAGACCTTAAATATTGTGTGTAAACACACACATATAATTATTAGAATAATAATAATTAAATAAATAACAAAATAAATAATAAATAATTATTAGAATAATAATACATATTCCTCCCTGAATTATTAGCCCTCCTGTTTGTTTTTCCCCACTTTCTGTTTAACAGGGAGATTTTTTTCAAGACATTTCTAAACAGAATAGTTTTAATAACTCATCTCTAATAACTGATTTATTTTATCTTTGCCATGATGACAGTGAATAATATTTGACTTGATATTTTTCAAGACACTTCTATACAGCTTAAAGAGACATTTAAAGGCTTAACTAGGTTAATTAGATTAACTAGGCAGGTTAGACTAATTAAGCAAGTTATTGTATAATGATGATTTGTTCTGTAGACTAAAGGGGCAAATAAGTTTGACCTTAAAATGTTTTTTTTTTTTTTTATTAAAAACTGCTTTTATTCTAGTCAAAATAAAATAAAGACAAAATATTATCAGGCATACTGTAAAAATTTCCTTGGTTTATAAGCATATTTTGGGAAATATTTAAAAAAGAAAAAAAAATCTAAGGTGGGCTAATAACAATTCTGTCTGGTTCTCAAATCTGATTGGCTGATAGCCATGCGATATACCCGTAATAACAGCACTTGCACTTGTAAAGCCTCTTCACCCTTCTGTAATATATACAGTTGAAGTCAGATTTATTAGCCCCCCTTTGAATTTTTTTCTTTTTTTAATAGTTCCCAAATTATGTTTATAGACCAAGGAAATTTTCAAAGTATGTTTGATAATACTTTTTCTTCTGGAAAAGTCTTATTTGTTTTATTTCGGCTAGACTAAAAGCAGTTTTTAAGCTTTAAACTATAGATTTTTTGATAGTCTATAAAACAAACCATCGTTATACAATAACTTGCCTGATTACCCTAACCTGCCTAGTTAACCTAATAAACCTAGTTAAGCCTTTAAATGTCCCTTTAAGCTGTATAGAAGTGTCTTGAAAAATATCTAGTAAAATATTATGTACTGTTATCATGGCAAAGATAAAATAAAGCAGTTATTAGAAATCAGTTATTAAAATTATTATGTTTAGAAATGTGTGGAAGAAATCTTCTCTGCATTAAACAGAAATTGGGGAAAAAATAAACAGGGGGCTAATAATTCTGGGAGGCTAATATATCTGAATTTCAACTGTATGTGTATATATATATATATTTATATATATATATATATATATATATATATATATATATATATATATATATATATATATATATATATATATATACACACACACACATATACTTTTTATAAAACTACATATAATACCTTTGTTTAATACTGGATTATTTTTAATAAAACAAAATTAAGTTTTTTGTATAATCTATTTTTGTAGATTTGATTTTTTATAGATTCTATTTTATAATCAGATTTTTATAAATAGTAAAAAAAATAGCAATCTTTTCATCAGTATCGATAAACCACATTATTTTAATTGCCTAGTTAATCATGGCGTTTTACAACAATGTCTAGCCACATGTTTATTCTTGACTTAGAAAAAAAGCATGGCCTCCCGAAGAAAAGGCGAGAAGAAAAAAAAGACGGTGGAGCTCACTGAAGCAAAGAAGCAACAACACTTGGATGCAGAACCATCAGATGGCAGCACCAAAGAACAAATGGCATGCAAAAGGAAGATGAAACCACAGAAAAAATATATAGGCGCTCACGTCTCAATTTCAGGTGAAGATGCTTTATTTTTAATGCAGTATTTGTTCCAAACACATAACAATTCTAGAAATTTTCCTTAATCAGGAGGAATATGGAAAGCAGTGGAGTCCAGTGTGGCCATGGGAGGTCACGCTTTTGCCCTTTTTTTGGGCTCTCAGCGCTCCTGGACAAGACCAGTCCTTGATTCAAAGGCTGCAGTTAAATTTCAACAAGCCTGTGCAGAACATGGCTTCGATCCAGTACACATCCTGCCACATGGATCTTATTTGATGAACTGCGGTTCTCCTAAAGAAGGTTTGAGCAATGACTGCACTCTCTGTGGTTGTGTGCATTAACCAAAAACTGACTATTTAAAGATGAAGCCACAACGTTGGCATTAAAAAAACATAGCTCTGTGGATTTAAGCAATATCTAGTCAATAGCTGCATATGAGGCTGTGTCAAATGACTGTGCTTGTAATCCAGATGTGTTCAGTAAGAGCCAGGCTATGCTTGTGGATGAGCTGAGTCGCTGCGATGCATTGGGCCTCAGCCAGTTTAACTTTCACCCTGGAGCTGCTATGGACTCCAGCCCTGAGAAATGCATGGAGAAAATCGCCCAAGCTATTAATCATGCACACCAGCAAACCCCTGCTGTCATTACAGGTCAACCCTGACAATTTCTAGTAAATGTGTAATGCTGTTTGGTGAGTTCAGCTGAAGAATTGTGTTCTTTTTTTCTTTCCTCTCAATAGTGCTTGAAAACATGAGTGGTCAGGGCAGCACCATCGGTGGGCAGTTCAGTGAACTAAAAGGCATAATCGACAGAGTGCGTGACAAGACACGGGTCGGGGTGTGTCTGGACACTTGCCATGCTTTTGCTGCAGGTACTGTAGTGTAAAGTTTTCTAGTTATATTTATATTTTCTAGTATATTAACAATTATTTGGGAAAAAAAGATGTATGACTCATATGTAGGGCCAAATGGAATCTGCTGACATTTTTTGCTATTTCTGCGCAGAATTGTGTTAAAAATCAAAATGATTTTGGGAGTATCATAACTAAAACCTTAACATTCATTCATTCATTTTCTATTCAGCTTAGTCCCTTTATTAATCCGGGGGTTTCCACCGCGGAATGAACCGCCAACTTATCCAGCATGTTTTTAAGTAGCAGATGACCTTCCAGCTGCAACCCATCTCTGGGAAAAACCTTAAAATATGAAATAAAAAGTAATACCTTTTTAACCTGTATTTAACATTTACAATGCAAATCCAATTAGATCCACTTTATTTTGTCAACAAAGCAAGTCTATCATATAATAGATCTACTAAAAGACGGAAAATATTAGTCAATAATATTACTGAAATTAATTTAAAAACTGAATAAATATAAATTTACACAAGTAAATAAAAGGAAATCTGCAGAATTTGGCCTACTCATATGTAATGGTTTACATGTTAAAAACTACATGCAGAGCTTTGGTATATGGCTTATAGTGCTTTGGACTTTTTTTTTTTTACATCAAGTACACTTTAAAATATATTTGAATTTTTCTGGTTTACTTCATGGCAACAAGGTGGCCATCACAGCAACAATTCAAATGCATATTCTCCCCATGTTTGTGTGGGTTTCCTCCGGGTGCTCTTGTTTCCCCTCGGTCTACTGACAAGCGCTATAGGTGAATTGGCTGTAGTGTGTGACTGAGAGTGCATGGGTGTTTCCCAGGACTGGGTTGCAGCTGGAAATGCATCCGCTGTTTAAAACATATGCTGGATAAGTTCTTGCCACTGTGGCAACCCCTGATGAATAAAGGGACTAAGCTGAAGTAAAATAAATTAATGAATATTTACATAATTTTCTCTTATTTAAACATTGTTTTGTCCCCTTGTTTTTGATATGGACGTTTATCTCTCCTCTGTCAACTTTTGATGTTTTGATTTTGCAGTTTTAAAAGGTGCCTTTTATTGACATTTTAGTAGTTTCAAACAATTTATTGCATAAGGACTAATATTTATGGAATCAAGTAACATAACAGAAAATTACTAAGGTTTATATAAAGTCTTTTATATAAGATCCAGGTCCTATAATGCAATTAAAAGGCATAAATAAATTCTTTACACAATTGCATTGCGATGTTAGTGGCTAATTGATATGAATTTGTACCATCTCATGTGACAGTGAGTACCAGTTTGTACTGTAACATCTCCTGCTCATGTGACAGTAATTTTTGTACGAATTAGCTCTTAAAAACTTATGAAATCAAATTGTATTTATATAACAAAATTAAAAACAATAGCAGTTGACAATTGTTCAATGCATGAATATCTACAGTTTATGTACATGTATATTTCACACATGTATGGAGTTAATATCAAAACACCAATCATAAAATTCAGCTTTAAAAAAAGAAAAAAGTTGCAAGCCTGAGAGAAATGGGAAATGGTATGCCATTTTATTATGCCAAAATGTAAAATAATTTTACACTGAAACCTTGGCAACTGCATGCCAACTAGCTATTTAATGAGAGTAAGCTGATGTAGTAAATCTACCTAAAACCAACAGAATTTCTAAATGGGACCATCAAAATAGTGTACACAAAATTATTATTATTTTTTTTAACACAGCTGATTGAATGAACAGTATTTGAGATGTTAATTTTTCCATTTAGGCTATGACATTTCACCACCGGGAGGAGTAAAGAATATGCTTGATGAATTTGACCGCGTGGTTGGGCTGCATTATTTAAGAGCTGTTCACTTAAACGACTCTAAAGGTATGAAACATTTATTTAAAACATATTAAGTAATTAACTAAGTTACACTTAAAACCCATAAACAAGCAATTTATCATTTGTAATTGTATAGACTATGCTTCACTATGCTCTTAATTTGACTTATTTTTTACTTTGAATTGGGTTTTGGTGTTTGAAATGAGGTTTGTGTAAGTTTTTATTTGACATTTTATTCCACAACATGAAATTCATTAGCAGTAAATGAGATTTAAAGCTTTTACTTGCCTTCAAAAAGGTGTTTGCTAACCAGTAGCTATAACCTGTATACCTATTTACTACTTTTACAGTTTCACTGTGAGTATAATAACAATCTTGGGGATATCCCACTTATAAGATTGTACAAATGTTCCTCTAAAGGGAAATTAGGCTCCCACCTGGACCGCCATGAAGACATTGGACATGGCCAGATAGGTATTACAGCTTTCCAAGAAATTGTAAACGAGCCTCGACTGGATAATATCCCTCTGATTCTAGAAACTCCCGGTCGGTAAGTGTCATGTTGGGAAAAGAGCATATTATGGTAAACCAAATGAACAAACAGTACTGATATGTTTTTTCACTGTATCTTCTTTTTCTAGCCAGGGTTTCGAGTATGCTGAACAGATAGAGCTCCTGTACTCCCTTTGTGAAAAAAAGGTGAAGAAATAGACATCTACTGGGTGGAATAAACCTTGTCCTGCATTTTAATCAATTAGATCTCAGTCTTTTTATTGCTATTCAGGGATTTTCGTTTTATTATACATACACTACCTGACAAAAGTCTTGTTCTCAATCCCAGTTGTAAAAGCAACAAATAATAACTAGACTTCTGGTTGATCATTTGGAAAAGTGGCAGAAAGTAGATTTTGCGGATGATTCATCTGTTGAACTGCATCCCAATCATCACAAATACTGCAGAAAACCTGTTGGAACCCGCATGGACCCAAGATTCTCAAAGAAATCAGTCATGTGCTGCTCATTGCATTACAAACCACATTAGAGGGCAAATTCTTCAGCAGGATATCGCTCCTTGTCATACTTCAGCCTCCACATTAAAGGTCCTGCAAGCAAAGAGGGTCAAGGTGCTCCAGGATTGACCAGCCCAATCACCAGATCTGAACATTATTGAGCATGTCTGGGGTAAGATGGAGGAGGCATTACAAATTAATTCAAAGACTCTTGATGAACACTGGGAGTCCTGCAAGAAGGTTTTCTTTGCCATTCCAGATGACTTTATTAATAAGTTATTGGAGTCATTGCAAAGATGTATGGATGCAGTTGTCCAAGCACATGGGAGTCAAACACAATATAATTTTTTTCCATTGTACCATGACTTTATATTCTATACTGTACATTATTTATGTTAAATAACAAGACTTTTGTCTCAGCAAAGTCAGACTTCACTGTCCTAATTAAGTAATTTAAAATCAAGGCATGATCATATTTTATTTGGTTACACTAAGCATAATATAAAGGCCTTTGCCTCATATAAGCCACTTCTGATACCAAATGATCAACTAGAAGGTGTTTGTTGTTCCTAAAACTTGGACTTTTGTCTGGTAGTGTACTAGTATTCAGCTTAAAAATGCAATTAAAAAGGCTTAAGTAAGCTAATCAGGTTAAGTGAAAGCTGAACAACACTGGTTTATTTTGTAGACAACCAAAAAAATAATAATTTCTGAAAGGGGTTAAATAATATTGACCTAAAAATATTGTGTTTATAGTTTTAAAACTTCTTGTATTCCAGCCAGTTTCATAGAAAATGCTGTAAAAAATTTCATACTCTGAAATATTGTCAAAAGAATAACATTTCAGAAGTGTGCTAATAATTTTGCATGTATATTTATATAACTAATTGTGTGCTTTAGTTTAATCTTTATACTGGTCAAAGTATTTTGAAAAGACTTTCAAAAAGGGCAGCACGGTGGCGCAGTAGGTAGCCTCACAGCAAGAAGGTCGCTGGTTCGGGCCTCGGCTGGGTCAGTGTGCATTTCTGTGTGAGTTTGCATGTTCTCCCCATGTTTGCATGGTTAAAAAGTGTATTTCCCAGGGATGGGTTGCGGCTGGAAGTGTACACACAATAATGTGCTGGATAAGTTGGCGGTTCATTGATAACAATTTACTATAGGCAGTTTTAAAACATGTTTTGACCATGAGAGGGAGCCAAGAACTAGGATTTGTAGAGCAGTGGCTACTGTAAGCCTATTCATTTTACATGCCAGTCTTTTCAGTGCTGTACATGTTTCACTTCTTTTGCCATATATTATTCTTGTCAGTCAGGATTACTACCTTAATGTTGACCATGTTCACCCATCACCCTGGCCCAGTCCCACTTCAGGTACAGCTGCTGTACCCCACACTTAGCTGGACCACACAAGAACACCAGATGCAGTCCTGCAAAAACACTGCCATCTCAACCTATAGAAGTTGTTTTAGACTTTCAAAGTAGCAGCAGGAAGGATGTTTCCAAGTGAGAATTTATACAGGAAGGTAAAAGTGCCTCGCAGTGGAATCTGCTATATTTTTTGCCAGCCAACAGGAAATATCAGTCAGGGAGTTAATAAACCACAGGGCAAACAAAATAGCATCATAACCACAATCATCAAGAGACCGAGTGAATGTATATTCGTAACCGTGTTTTGACTCTGATGCTCTTTTTGTTGGTTTTGTTCCTGTCTAATTTTTCCATGAGATAAAACATTTGCTAAACATATGGCTCAATAAATGTTTCCAGGTCTCCTCATGTTTTCCTTCTCTAATTTTACCTGAATTTAAACAGCTTTGGCATTATTAAAGTTAATTGATAGAGTCTGAGGTATAAACCTCTGAGTTAATTACAACTTGTAATATATACTTTGTTCATATTCAGTATAAAGGAGGTATTGTAAGACACAGTTGAAGACACAAAAATTCATACATACATACAATAATATATATATGAAAGCTTCTGCTAAAAGAATACATTCAAAGGAACTTTTATTATTATTATTATTATTTATTTTATTTTATTTAGTTTTGGAAAGGATATTTCAGTTGAACTTTATGAAGAGCAAACAACTGCGGGCTGTAGGACTCCTGCTAAGCATTGGTTTGACCTTTGCTTAATATCAGATGGTACTGTTTGAACAGTAGTTTACCTCATGTTGCTCATCTGTTGGGATCTGTCAGAACAAATGTTTTTAGTTTAAGAAACATTTTGGAAATCTTTTGGTGGGCTGGTGGCAAGCATTAGGCCCATGTCACTCATTCAGTATATTCCAAATGGGATATATTCCCCCCGGGGGTGAACTTCGGACTCATTCCAAACCAAAGTTTAAAAATGACCACTTTAAAGGGCCCTTTAGAAAGAAGGATTTTGAACGGGTACAACCGGTGGACACTTCTGGCACCCAAAATACTTTGCTCTGGGAAGCTCTCAATTCAACTTTACCTTTAAATATATACTACTGTAATATTTATATTAAGTTATAAATAAAATAATTGTAAAATACAATTCTAAATAAATATAAATTTAAATAGTTAACCACTTATAGAGCAAAGAACTACAGTATTTCATTGACATAAAAAAGTCATACAAATATTATTACAAATTATTGTAATAACCCCAGTCACACTCCAGAAAGTTCACAATGAGATTTTTAAAAATCCTTTAATGCATAGGACAGTATTGTCAGGGAATTGTCAGGAGCAGAAAGAAATAGGTGAACATTATAGTGTCATTATGCTATATGTCATTAGGAGTGCAGGGCCAGACAGAATCTGCAGACTTTTTCTTTTTCTGCAGAGAATTTGTGGATTTATGTGGAATTATTTTGGGAGTATTATAAATACAACCCTAATATATGAAATTTAAAAAAAATTGTTTTTAACTGTTATTTAATGTTTGCAATGCAAATCCAATTAGATCCACACATTTGATAAACAAAGCAAGTCTCTCATATAATGTATCTACTAAAAGACAGAAAATATTACTTTACAAACTGCATTGTAAATAAATCAAATGAACATTTAATATTACTATATTATCCCGATGATATTACTGAAATTAATTTAAAAACAGAATAAATATTTAATATTACACACATTTACACAAGTAATTGCATAGACTTAATGATGAGTTAGAAATCTGAGGATTTGTGCTCGCGCAGATTCTGTGTGAGGCTACATATAGGTTAACCAAGAAATTAATTAAAAAACAAATTTGATTTAATTGACGTATCCTCAAGTCATCCAAGATGTAGTTGAATTTTTCATCATTAAAGCATGAAAGAAGATATTTCACTGATACCAATATACTTTGTGATGCCTACATGCAAGTCAATGTCTTCTAGCACTTCGAAAGTCAAGAAAAAAAATATACATGCAAAACAAAATTAATATTCATGGCCTTGAATGATGGTCTGTTATGAAGCAAAACAATCAATCTGTCCCAAATAAATATTATTTACACATTAATAATCCCAAGCCTTAGCAAAAATAATACACTTACAACAGTCCTTTTTTACTCAGCTGCAGTATACTTGAGTTATATGAATCCACAAGGACCACAGTTTCAGCTATAAATCTTTTTTAAGGCTCTACTTAAGTTAATGTCATCTTATGGAAGGATTGGATAAATTAACAGCAAATAAAAAGAATTGGGTAAACCCTCTATATGAGATGTTACTTTTGGATCCATTGTTTACATCATGTTGCACATTTGTTGGCATCTGTCAGAACAAGCGTTTTTGGTTTAAATAATATTTGAAAATGCACTGGTGGCCTTTGGCAGCCTTTGTTAGCTAGGGAAACCTTACAGCACTTCTAAGGGCTCTTATAAATGGCAAATGCCAATGTTTTGTTAAGTGTGTGTAACATCAAGCTCAACAAAGCCTCCCATTAACAGACTGAAAGTCTTATAAAGCAGATGACGCAGTGCCAGATGAGCAAAATCAACAGACCACACAGTCGTTTTTTGCAGCGTTTCTCACACAAATCACAAACCAAATGCAATTCCTCTGATTTAGTTTTTAGTCTAATGTTTGTCAGCAAGAAAAGAAAAAAAGCAAGATTTATTCATAATGTTGAACCACATAAATGTGCATCCCTCGACTTGCATTCCTCAGCAAACGCATTTAACGAGGTAACATTTAACGGTGCAGTTAGTAAAATGGCTGTATATGGCTTTGACTATTTCTCCACTGCTGACCCTTAGCGAGGAATTTTCCGCAGTGGTGGCTGGGCACAGAGCCACAGAGCGACAGGCCTTCACACACAGCAGCCCAGCAGCCGCAGGCTCCGGCCTGGTCCTCCAAAAGTCCTGTTGCTCCAGTAACCACATAACAACCAGACCGTCTGAGTCTGCCAGTGAATTATTACTTCTCTGAATTTCAGCAGAAGGATGGAGATAAGTATCATGATGCAGTGTTATTGGGACAACATCTTGGTTGACTCTGAAAATAAAACAAGAACGTCACATTTAACCATGAATATTTTAGGAGTCATAGTATTGTTACATTTTTTACCATTACCATTATGCTTCAAAAGTGCTTTTATTTTTGTCTTGTTTCTAGTCCAAATATATACAATTATTTAAAATAATGGTTTACAAATTGAAAATGAAAAAGTACGCTTTACTCACCCTCAAGTGGTTTCAAACCTTTATGAGTCTCTTTATTCACTAAAGAATACATTTTAAAGAAAGTTTCATAAGAAAAGTATAGAAAAGT